GACGAGCCCTCCTTCAGCGACCCCGAGGATTTCGTGGACGACGTGAGCGAAGAAGGTGAGGCGGCAGGAACCCGCTGCGGGCGGGGCCGCCGTCAGCCCGGGAGTCAGCGCGGGGTGGGGTCCCGATCCGCCACCTGCTGTGCCGCACGTGGGGAAGGTTTTCTGAGAGCCTGGACCTCCTCCGTCTCTCTATAAACGGGGGCAGTGTGGAGACAACCTGGAGGCAGCCGCTCGGTCTTGGAGAGTGGTCGAGGGCGGACGGCGTGCACGCAGCTGGGGCCGTGTGTGCAGCGCTGGGGCACTGAGGGTCCAGCAGAGCCTGACACTGCACGTGCCGCGCGGTCTCTGGTGGCCAGAGGGACCAGCCACGCTTGTCAGAGGTCTGATGCCGACCCTCGGAGCAGGCTGTGGCAGAGCCGGGCGCGCTCAGCCCGGTCCTGTTTGGTCCCTTTGTGAGCTGAGGAGGCGGGCCACCGGCCTCCGTGGGCAGATAGTTTTCTGGGTTTAAGCATTGTTGGTTACAGCTTGCTTTGCCTCCCCCCCCGCCGCCCCCACACTCCTCCTTTATCTGCCGTGATTAGAGTTACAGACATTATTTCTGCTTCCCGCCTGAGACCCGGTCTTCTAAAGTGCCTTTGGTTGATAGCTGGTGTTGTGTCGTTTACCTGTGTTTTGGCTGTGGCCATATTAACGCCACAAGCTTGAAGAACATCACTGAATTCTTCTCTGTCTGGACTTAGTTGTAGTAAAATGGGGAAAGTAAAGGAAACACCACTGAAGTAGGTTGTGATACAAGAAAATAAGATGTTACCATGTTAAAATAGAATTTTTTTGGATGCTTGGATCACACTGAGGTTGACTCAGAACCATAAAGAAATTCAAGTCAATTGAAAAAGTTTACAAAACCAACATGGAGTTGTGAACTTTTAAACATGATTTGAAAGGGTTTCCTGTTATTGTTATGATGTGTCTTATACTTTATGTCATAAGATAGAAGACATTTTAGCAGGAAAGTCTCCATGCGCTAGTGAAGAGTTGAAAAAGAAATATGTCCCTAACCACCAGGTAGGTTTCCGGGAATTCCTAGGCAGACAGTGTTGCTGGGACCCCTCATGCCCGGACCCCCGTTTTTACCACATCTATTTTTGTTACATTTGAAACAAATGTAACAAAAATAGATGTCAAAGCTTTGATTTTAAAGTCCGTTTTGAGCTCTTCAGTATTTACTCTGCAATTGCCTTTTTTTAAAGCATTGTTTGAGCACACCTAATTCACACAAGTTTTTAATGTTAATTATTTCCACATTGCGGTGTGTGACAGAGGATGCTAACATGAGCCAGGATAGGTGACAGCTGGGCAGGCCTTCAGAGCCCATGTGATCTTTACGTTTTGCCAGAGTAACCTGTGAGGCCCCTGGTCCGAAGGAACTAAAACCTAGCAGGCCTTCAGTTTTCTTGAGGCCACTTGGTTGTGGTCAGCGGCTCAAGTCTGTTTTGTGTTTCCTGAGAAGAACATCCTGTAGGGAGCAGAAAGTAAAGGTACCGTTTCTTTTGAAAGTGGACAGAGTCTTAAAGAGCCCCTCACTGGCATCCGTCTTGCCTCCTCTCTCTCGGAGATACTGGCCTTGTTGCACAGTGCATCTTAATTACAGCCTGCCTTTTACTTTAATTTTTCAGTTGCTTTTGGTGTTTGGCCAAATATGATAAAAGTTTTAACTCTCAATGTCTTCTTTTGGGGCTCGTTCAATATTACTTATGTTTACTTTTGCTATTTAGTTTTGAGAATTGCTTCTTTCTGTTTCTCCTGGAGCCAGATTTGGAATCCGTGAGCTGAGCTGAGAGTGATCAGATGTGTAGGCTGGTACTGACGAAGGGAATGTGTTTCTTCATGTGTAATTACTATATTCGTTCTCTTACTGTGTGTAGGCAGGTTCTTATAAAAAATTCTTATTCCTATAAAAAACTTTAACATCGTGGGAAGGAGTCCACAGTTTATATAAAAGCTAAACTTCTTTATTGTAAACCCTGTAACTTTAGATCAGGCTTAACAGGCCACTTAATTGTGTGGTGAGTGAGCTTGAGACGTACCAAGGACGCGGGCATCTCTCTAGGGATGATATCTCCATTGCTGTGACTAACCTGCCTCCCTTTTTTCTCTCTGCTTGGTCTCAGTTTTAGCTTCTTTGAAATTTAAGTGGCAGTTCTGTTTTTCAGGTAACATTTTCAATATCATTCACAAAGGATTGAAATTAATGAGAAATCGTTTATGGCGATTTCAAGGGCATGCTTCTTGCAATTAAAGGATTCCTTTTGAAAGATTTTCTCAACTTCTTAGTATGGAATATTTTAAACACAAAAGCAGAGAGCATTCATCTTAACTTTTGAGAATGAAATGCAGCAAAGAATATTTTGTGTGCTATTTAGCGTGTTGAAATTCTTGACAGTCGGGTTCGGGAACACCTAGACAGACGTGTGAGTAACAAGCCGGTGTTCGCCAGCTATAGTTTAAGATAATCTATGCTCTCATGCTGGATGACAGACTGGTGCAGTCTCATGAGTGCTGTGATGGCAGCTCTAGAAAGTGTCTGTCCTCGCTCCTAACCAGCATGCCTTGTGATTTCTCAGCTTTTCTAGTCCGTTTTACACCTATCTTTTCTTCTCTCTTATTCTAGGTGACCATTTTATGGAAATGAAGCAAATTTAAAAAGTTTGAGTACTAAGATTGGGTTCTGTGATCCTAACTTTAAAAACATGAACATAAGGCATCTTGTTTTTGAGTATATTTATGAAAGTAATAGTTACCACATATTGCTTACTGTGTTCCAAGCACTGTCCTAAGGGTTTACAGATATAACGTCTCTACGTGGCTGATGTGTCCCCCAACAACCCGTGAGATGTTCATAGAATCAGAGACACTGCTGGTTGTCAGAGGCATTGTTTCGGTGCATGCTCTCTTGAGCTTGTATATTCTCCAGCCCTTGTTTAAATGCTGATTTCAGACTCATGTAGTCTTCAAACATAAAGAATACTGGGGAACAAGCAGTTTAGTTTTAAAGTGGTTGGGAAGAAAGTGCTTGGTGGTGGGTTTGCATTGAGGTGAGTCAGGGAAGGCTTCCCACAGGCAGTCTGTGGCCCACTCTGGGCTTTCTTTGATTCCTGGTGAAAGGCCTTCCTCTTTGATTGCATTCAGCATTATTAAAAGTCTTTTTAAAAATTTATTTAAAAATCTTTCATTATTGCCAGAAATTAGTTGACCTGTCTTCACTGTCAAAGGGAGTTTAAAGAATTAAAGTCTTCCTAATTCTTTCAAGTTTAATATTTGAAGCAAGCCAGTGCCATGACTTCTTTTGTTCATAACAAAAGCATTTAGAATATTCATTTTTTTGCTTCATAGAAATTTGTTTAATGTGCTAAGCTAATGTATTAATGTGTTGCTTGGTCAAAAAGAGTCATCTGATAAATCTCTTTCGCTCACACAGAATTATTGGGAGACATACTCAAAGATCGGCCACAGGAAGCAGATGGAATTGATTCGGTGATCGTGGTTGACAATGTTCCTCAGGTGGGACCAGACCGTCTGGAAAAACTCAAAAATGTCATCCATAAGATCTTTTCTAAATTTGGGAAAATCACAAATGATTTTTATCCAGAGGAGGATGGAAAGACAAAGGGGTGAGTTGCGTTCTCCATGATGAGCGTTATTTGTATTTTTCTTGGTATCAGACACCCCTCGATCACCATGTGTTGCAGGAGTTCCCTGTGACAGCAGTGCGTGCCTCAGCAGAAGCTCTGCAGAGCAGCGATTTGGTCCTGGGCTAGTCACAGGGGGAAGGACACTGACGTGTGGTTCTCAAATTAGGTTATTGTAAGCTGGGTGCTAAAACCTTAAGACATCAGAGGTTGATATTTAAATCTGCCATCAGAACAGCGATTGATGTAAGATACACGTTGGGTAAAGGGACCAATAGATCTGGAAGCTAGTAGAATTTCAGGAGAATTTTGCATGTGGTATTTTATTGATTCTAAGATGTGCTTCCCTGTTCCCCACCGCCACACATACATTCTAACATCTCCGAAATGGAGATACTGACACTGTAGGTGACAGCACTGTGTCATTGCTTAATTAACGACATTTTTTCTAATGTTACCTAAAACAGTGCATCTTTTAAAAGCGGTAGCATAAGGTATGTCTTATAGTTTGCTTTTAAAATTCAGCTTTTTATGTCTTCTGTGTTGATAAATGTAATGCTGGTTTCTTCGTTTTAAATGCCGTGCTATTGTATCGCGGCAGCTCATCTGTTTCCCGTCAACTGAAATTTAGTGTTTCGCAGTTACAGTCTTGCACTCACCCCTTTCCGAGCAAGCGTGAGAACTCCCTTGCTGCATACCTGGGAGTGGAACTGCAGGGGTCATGAAGTCACCTTCAGGGCCACTGGGCAACATTGACTCATGACCAAGGCGGTTGCCGGTCGGCCCAGCAGCACTGAACTGTTCTGCCTGTTCCACAGTCTTGTCAGACTGTCTGCACTGCAGTTTTGTGTGAATGTCAGCCTTTGAGAGCACAGCAAAATCATCTTTTCTAGGACAGGAACGAGAAAGTGATAAAGTTTGTTTTAATTCAGATTTTGGAAACTACTTGGAATGGTTTTAATTCATAAAAAAATGATCAAATACAGGTAATGCTCCTGACATTTTCTGTTTTGGAACTAAGTGGAAGGGTAACCTCGTTTTGTGTTTTTCCTATGATGAAACACCCTTTGAGAGCCTTCGTAACTTTACCTGTAAGACACATTACACAATGTCCACGTTTTTAGACTTTTAACAGCCTTATCGAGGTAATTGATATACAGTACACTCGCATAGTTTAAAAGTGTACTGTTTCATAAATTTTGACATATATACATCCTTGAAACCATTACCGCAGTCAGAATATGGACATTTTGATTAATGAGCTTTTCTGTAACTTACGATTATGGAGTTAGAGACTTGGGTCTTCTGTTATGACTTTGTTCACGTTGAGGGAACGACCGTCAGCTATTTCACTGCCTCGGACGTGGCAAGAGTACGGGTCCCAGCGTGCAGTGCTGTGACTCGTGTGGAGGGGCTGGTGTGTACTGAGCGTGACCTGCCTGATCCTAGAGCCTTTCTCGCCTCAGGTACATTTTCCTGGAGTATGCATCTCCTGCCCATGCTTTGGATGCTGTGAAAAATGCCGACGGCTACAAGCTTGACAAGCAACACACGTTCAGAGTCAATCTCTTCACCGACTTTGACAAGTGAGTTCAGACTCAGGCCCTGAGAACCTGGACATTCACCTTGCTGAACGGCCTAGGTTTTTGCGGCTTCGAGGCAGTTCATCCTCCAGTTAGACTGCTGCAGGACCATGTCCCCCCCGCCCCCCCGCCCCGGCCCTTCACACTCTGGCCAGTAGCACCCCCCTCACCACCAGCGTCCCCTCACCTGTTGTTACCAATAAAAACACATCTTTTTTCCCTACCCTGGGGGGCGGGCAGGCAGGGGTGCAAGACAGCAGGTTCTCGAAGGTGAGATGCATTCAGCACCTACCCCCTGTTCACGTCACTTAGCCAGTACTATGTGAGGACTGAGCGCACTGCCTGTGGCTGCGACCATCCACGTAGGGACCACTCACCCTTGTTCTAGTCGTTAATGGGTGTTCCTGAACAGTGATTTCTCTTCCCAGGTACATGACAATCAGTGATGAATGGGATATTCCAGAGAAACAGCCTTTCAAAGACTTGGTACGTTTTGTACACTCTGTTATCTAAGTAGTTGAAAGAATGCTGGCTAGCCTCTTGGCTTGAGGTGGGGAATTCTTTGGGAGTTAGAAATACTGGCCGAATTTGTCACACCTCTAAGAGCAGTTAATTAGATGAGTTTACTTTGGTTCAAGTGAATGAAGTGTATCTTGCCCTTTGCCTATGGTTCTTTTTCCAGGGGAATTTACGTTACTGGCTGGAGGAGGCAGAGTGCAGAGATCAGTACAGTGTGATCTTCGAGAGTGGAGACCGCACTTCCATATTCTGGAACGACGTGAAGGACCCTGTCTCGATTGAGGAGAGAGCGGTGGGTATTTTCCGCCAGGTAGGGACTTGCTCTGTATTTTCTTAACAGGACTAGGGCACAAGGTCAGGTGACATGTTTCTTGAGAGTCCATCTCTGAGAACAGCTTCTGTTAGCCTTCTTCCAGCTTTGAAGTAAGTCAGGAGACATGAACAGGCTTCTCATGGTTTCAGTTACTAGTCTGAGGAGCCAGTCCCTGATGTAAGGGAGGGGTCTTTGTGCTTGGCTGCTGCTTGCGTTCATGTTGGCACTGGCTTTCTCCACAGCGGTGGACAGAGACATACGTGCGGTGGTCTCCTAAGGGCACCTACTTGGCGACCTTTCATCAGCGAGGCATCGCGCTCTGGGGGGGAGAGAAATTCAAACAGATTCAGAGATTCAGCCACCAGGGGGTTCAGCTCATTGACTTCTCACCTTGTGAAAGGTAAGCCCTCAGAAATGCAGGTGGACTCTGTTCCTCTCACCTCTTGCCAACATCTACAGATAACCTCGACGCCTTTTAATTTTACAATGATTTCAAATTCAGAGAAATTACAGGAGTACAGTGAACCCCGTGAGCTCTTCAGTGGGTTACCAGTTCACATTTGCATTTGCTTTACTGTTTTTTCTCTAAACATATGGACGTAATTTTTTTGTGAGCCATTTGAAAGTACGTTGAAATATCATGTCCCTTTACCCCAATTGTGCATTTCCAAAGAATAGGAAATTCTCTTACATGACCTGAGTGCAGTTATAAACTTCAGGAAGTTTGGCGTTAATTTAATATTCTAATTTTTCACTTGATCTAATAATGTCCTTTGTAAAAGTTTTTTTTTTTGGTTCAAGATCTAGTCCAAGATGATGTTTTTTTGCAGAGGATGTTCTTACGAGTGACTTTCTTGTGTGAGGTGGTCCGTGCAGCACAGCCCTGTGTGGGGTGGGACACGAGCAGCTTGAAGGCGCACGGCTCCCAGCCCGGGGCGCCCTCTCACCCGCTCTCGGCGCCCCTGCTCAGGGCTCGTCTGAAGCTTCCCTGTGTTGCTCACACAGTCAGTGTCACCACGTGTCCCTCTGTGGATGCCGCCTGTACTTCAGTTCAGCGTCTCGCTATGCAGCCTGTGCTCGTTGTGGGGCTCCTGATAGGTGGTCCTACTGCACCTGCTTGGGCCTGTGAACTGTTTAGCATGAACACTCACTAACACACGGAAAACTAACTATAGTGACATTCTTGTACTAGTGACTTAGATTTAATGATGTCTTTTTTTGCTGTAATTGCTTCACAAATGTTTTGCGTAGTTTGAGGTAAACGGTAGAGTCTCCGCACAAGCGTGCATCGCTGCAGAGTACAGACGTCACGTACCACACTAACGACACCTGCTAGCTGTTCCTAGTATCTGATGCTGAACAGTACTCAGCTTTTCCCCGGGTCCCCAAATGGCTCTTACTCACAGTGAGCTTGTCCCACCCCTGGCCCAGTCAGAGGCACGCAGGGTGTTTAGTCCTTGTGTCACAGGTCTCTTTCATCTGGAGCAGTGCGTCCTGCCCTTTGTTTTGATACTGACTTAAGAAGACAGGACCAAGTGACCTGTGAACTGTCTTAATTGCTGGATTCGACTGATTACTTTTTTGAGGCATTGTTTAATTTATTCTTTTCATCCTTATATTTTCTCTAAGCCATAAGTTCTATCTGATGAGTATTTTGTAATTTTGGTAAAGCAGCTTTCGTGTAATGTGTTCTTGGGATACTCATCAATTTACAGCCGCTTTGCACATTTCCGGTGCAAAGTAGTTGCCACGTCTTCCAGCGGCGTCTGTTAGTGGGTCTGCATCGAGAGCCTGGTCTCTGAGCCAGGATGACACGCAGGACTAAGAAGCTTCCTGCCACTCTTCGTCTCCTGGGATCCTTGTCAGTCCTCAGGCGGTTAATGCCACCTGCATTCTCAGACATTTATGTGCTAGACTTAACCACCTTCAGTCATAATTTATCTGCGTATATCCATCCACTGAAGGACAGAGGCTGGATCTTCTCTTCCTCATCACGTCCCTGGTGCTCTGCAAAGGACCTTATTTGGGAATGTTGAGTGAACGAAGGAGTTCGCGCGTGCGTGCTTTGGTCATACAGGTTACACTGTGGAAAGTCTGTTTTGTCGTTAAATGCATAAACAGGTTTTGTGGTTCCGGGGTAGTTTTGTCTTGTATTCTTTGCCGGGGTGTAGGGTGCAGGGGATTTGATAACTGTGGGAAGGGCGACTGAAGAGAGTGTTATTATTTTGTTGAGTCAGGTGTCACCCTTCCTGGGAGAGGGATAGTCATTGGAGGTGCCGCTGTGGAGCCAGCAGGGGCTGACTCCTGCCCTTCTGCATGCGTGTGTGTGGCTGCCTTCCCTGCTCGCACCCCCTTGAGAGAGCAGCTGGTGTAGTCACACTTTGTGTGAGCCAAGTGACAAGGTGCCATGGTGTTGACCAGCCAGCACTCAGGTGGGTGACTGCTGGGAGATGCCTGGGCACCGAAGTCCCCCCGTCAGGCTGTCCGTGCTTCGGAACCGCACGTGCCCGTCTGTTATCTGAAGCGTCAGTGAAGACAGCATGGTAACCATGCCAGTCCTCCCGCTAGAGCACGCGGCAGACTTTCTATGGAATCTTTCGGGGCTTTCCTTGTCCTGATTTCAGTGGAGAAGCATTTCGAGGTGACCCTTGGAGCACCTTGGTGTCAGGAATGACAGTGCTTTGTGCCCTGGATGTGGTTCTGCCCCATGTTCTGGGTGGGTCACCTGACACGAGAGCAGATGTTAGGGGAGTCTGGGGTAGGGGTGCTGGTTGCTTGAGCCTCAGCTGCTCACTTTGGCCGTTCCCCACTGCAGCAAGGTGCCAGTACCTGCTGCGTCCACACTGATGTGAGCTTTGGTGAGAGGAGATTGGAACACGAGTCCTCTCTGTTACAGATACCTGGTGACTTTCAGCCCCCTGATGGACACTCAGGACGACCCTCAGGCCATCATCATCTGGGACATCCTTACTGGGCAGAAGAAGAGAGGCTTTCACTGTGAAAGCTCGGCCCACTGGCCTATTTTCAAGTAAGTAGTCAGCCCTTGGTGGCCGCACTGGCCTCTGCTTTCTCGTGGGCACAGCCTGGCACTTCTCTGTAGACTCATGGCGGCCACGCTGGCCTCCGTGTGTTCTCGTTGGCAGCCTGGCACCTTTCTTTTTCCTCTTAGGTGGAGCCATGATGGTAAATTCTTTGCCAGAATGACACTCGATACCCTCAGCATCTACGAAACTCCTGTGAGTGAGTCAGTTCTCTGGCACATGAGCTGCATGTTGGCCCAGTAGCCCCCGGCTGCAGTGCTCCCCCTCCCGTGCTAGTCGGGGAGGCGGAGCATCTATGTGGGACGCAGGCGATGCTAGTGCTGGCCTGGGTTCTGGTTTTGCATCTGCCAGCCCGCTTCTGTGCTGCAGGGACGAGGCGAGGGGTGGGGGGCGTGGCTTGGAAACGCTCCATTTCACTCTGCTCACGCCGCTCCCTCGGCAAGCTCACGTCAGAACCTCGCACTGCCTTTGCGTAAAAAGTTGTATTGTGAGACACAGTGTGGCTTGACTCGATCGTAACCTTCTTTTCCCCGGCAGTCTATGGGCCTCTTGGACAAGAGGAGCTTGAAGATCTCCGGCATAAAGTGAGTAAGCACCCCTAGGCTGCCCCTCTCTGCCCCTGCCGGCACCCCAGACTGCACCTGTCTGCCACCACCAGCACCGCAGGCTGCCCCTGTCCACCACCGCCAGCATAGGCTCTCACGCCCGGACGGAGCACTGCCTGTCGTTCTGGTGCCTGTTCCACTGGGCTGCTTGCTTGTCCCTGGGAGCCAGAGCTCTGGGCTGCAGCCTTTCATGAAGGGGGACTCCACTTAGTGACAGGTCTTCTGTGTTACTCTGGTTATCTGTGTGGTGGGGTTTGGGTGACCTTCAGTGAATTGCCCTTCGTTTATTTCTCTAGTCTCTGGGGTTGGTCGATGTCTCAATAGTGAAGGACCAACAGTACAAGGACAGTCACGTTTCTTATTCCTTTTATTTTTACATTCTTGGGCAAAATTAAGGTTTATAATTAAACCAGGAATTGGCTCTCAGTAAATGCAGAAGTAAAGATACTTTTCACGGCTGTGAACTCATGATTGTTCGTTACTCTGCCTGTCCTCCGGGTTAGTTTACATGGCACCAGGCAATGCCCTATTCTCCCGAAGCCTCTAACGCTTGTCGATGTGGAGTTTTCCCCATTAGCAGGAAATGGTGGTAAAGAGTCGGGGTTTGGATCATGATGAATCTACTGTGTGATAGTGGGTAGCGTTATTAGTGTGTCTCTGTCCTCCTAGGAAGGGCGAGTTTAACAGTGCCCAGCGTTGTCAGGGGAAGGAAGGGAGCTGCATGAAGTCCCTAGAACAGCGCCTTCCTTAAGTCCCCAGCTGGGCATTAGCCGCGTTCCTGGTGGCGGCTGTGCCAGTGCGAGTTCGTGCAGCATGTGAGCTCTTCGCATGCTTTCACCTTGGCAGCTCCTCTGATAACATTGTATTTTCTTTGTTCTGCAGAGACTTTTCTTGGTCTCCAGGTGGGAACATAATAGCCTTTTGGGTGCCTGAGGACAAAGATATCCCAGCCAGGGTCACCCTGATGCAACTTCCCACCAGACAAGAGATCAGAGTTAGGAATCTATTTAATGTTGTGGATTGCAAACTACATTGGCAAAAAAATGGCGATTACTTGTGTGTTAAAGTAGATAGGACTCCGAAAGGTACCCAGGTAAGTGGATGCCAGTGAGCAGAATGTTCTTTCCGTGTGGCTGCAAACTAGCCTGTGTTATGTTTGGACGATGTTAATAGATTTTTGGTTTGAATTTTGTAGATTATTTTCAGACCCACCTGATATCAAAAGTAGTTGGCACGTCCTAGCCAGAGCTCTTGTTACAGTCTAGCTGAGGAGTGTGATATTTTTCCGTGAAAGGGAGTGGGCAGTACATTTGCATAGTTCAGAGGTAACGGGGATACAGTTGACCCTTGAACAACACAGGTTTGGACTGCGTGGTCCACTTATGTGGATTTTTTCAATTCATGTACAGCTGGCCCTCTGTGTCCCCGGGTCTCACACCTGCCGACTCGACCGAGAAGCAGTGTTGGGCATCTGTAGAGGGCCAGCTGGTCCACACTTGTGTGTGAGGGACTCGAGCATGGTGGATTTTAGTGGGCGGGGAGGGGGCCTGGAACCAGCCCCTGTGGATGCTGAGGGATGACGCAGTTCTGTTTTGGGGGAGTCACAAGTTACATGTGGATCTTTGCATGGGGGTTTGACACCCCGACCTCCACGTTCAGGGGTCAACTTTATAGTGAAATCTTTTCAGGCACCCACTCTCCTTTCTGTGGAGTAGAATGAATGTGTCATTTTCTCTTTAATTAAACACAAAGAGTAGCGTGTTTGACACAGCTCTGCACCCGGTTTTTCTCGTTTGCATCATTTAATATTTATCCAGAAAGTTGCTTGATTTTCTCTTGTAGTGGAAGTTTTCCTCTTTTGTTTAAACACTTTTTGTTGAGATATAATTTACACACTATACTATTCACTCTTACACAGTCATGCAACACAGTCACCACTATCTTAATCCCAGAACACTTGAATTACCTCAGAAAGAAACTCCACAACACGAGCAGACACCCCCACTTCCACACCTCCCTATCCCGCTAGCTCCTGATACCCACCGATCCACTTTCTGCTTTCTGTCTGGATTCCCCTGTTCTGCACATTTCGTGTGAATGGGCTCGTGCTGTGCGTGTGGCCTCTGTGTCTGGCTTCCTTCTCTGAGCACATCTTTAAGGCTCATCCAGGTGGTGGCGTGTGCCAGTACCTCTTTGCTTTTTAGCACCGTGTGGCTGGGCCACACCATGTTGGCCCAGTCATCCCTTGATAGATGCGTGGGCTGTCTCCACTTCGTGGCTGTTCCGGATGGTGGCACACCCTGGTTTTCACACGAGCGTGTCTTGAAGCGAGGCTGCAGGATAGCCACTGTTTAGCAGTATTGAATCAGTCTCTGGTGCTGGACCTATAAGGTGCTACAGAAGCTTTGCAGACAAGCTGTAGTGTGGACCCTTGAACTGTGTGTGTGACTGTGACCTTAGGGCAGTTCTTCGAAGTGGAACCTGGGCCTGAGTATGTGTGTGCCTCTCGCTGCTCTCCGCAGAGACTGCCCCGTGCGCACTCCCATCAGCATTAGCAAGTTCTTGTTTCATCATGATGGCTGTAGTGTTAATCACTTTAGGTATTCGTGTCTTTATCAGATGTGTAATCTTCCATTAAATTCTCAAGTTGTCCTGTAAGTCTTATACTTTGTTTCCACAGTAATCACCCTTTATTTTTTCTTTTATCGACAGGGTGTTGTCACGAATTTTGAAATTTTCCGAATGAGGGAAAAACAGGTACCTGTGGATGTGGTGGAAATGAAAGGCAAGTCTCATCGCAGTTGTTTTGTAGCTGAAGGGCCTTCTGTGCTGTTTTACACTCGGCCTTTAAAATTGGGGCGTGAATTCCCTGCCTGGACAAAAGGGCCAAGACTCTGAGCTCCAGCTCATGAACGGCCGTGTGTCTCTGAGTTACAGGACATATGTTTATAAGTTTAGGGTTTCTGTCCTTTCCAAGTTCAGCCTCTTTTCAGTTGCCAGGGGAAGCTGCCCACCCCCCGTACACTGACCTCTCGGGGAGCGGGTGAGCCCAAGGCTTCCAGCTGTTTGCGCGCAGGACGGTGCGGGGGGCGGGTCTTCGTGCCGTACGCGGCCACGGGTGGCCGCAGAGCTGCTCGTGTCGCACAGGTGGTTTCACAGCGTTTTTGAGCTCGTGACAACTGTTTAAGTTACGTGTTTGTCTTCAGGTGGGAAAGAGCCTGTGTCTTTGGTTGATTTCTCGCTTCGGTTTTGTTTTCTGTTTTGCTGGAGAGGGAAGGAGAAAGGGAAGGGGAAGGACAGGCAGGAAACGGAGTGAAACCCGGCCCCTGCCTGGATACGAGACACAGCAGCCTTCGTAGGCTGTGGGCTTCTGCTAAGTACCCTGGGAGTGTGGGACAGGAGGTGTCCGGGCTGTACTGGCGCCAGGCTCCACACGGCCGCACTGCGGACAGGCTGTGGGGAAAGGCAGCGTTCCCGCTTGGCCAGGACACTGTCACCCAAGGCATCTCACAGGACTTAAAAGTGTGCTGCTTGTGAGACTCAGTGCGGCGCGCTCCTCGTTCCCATGCCTCTCTGGGGCCTTTTCGATGGATTTAAGAGTTTGGGGAAACGTAACCGATCGGGAATGTTTCCTTCAGTGCCCAAAGGGGTCTCACCCTCTTTTCGGTAACAGAAACCATCATAGCCTTTGCCTGGGAGCCCAATGGCAGCAAGTTCGCGGTGCTGCACGGGGAGGCTCCTCGGATTTCGGTTTCCTTCTACCACGTGAAGAGCAACGGGAAGATCGAGCTCATCAGTAAGTAGCCTTGCCTGTCTTGCAGGGACGGGAGAGTGTCACCGCCCCAGTGAGTACAGGCCCGAACCCGCAGCCAGGCGGGTCCACTGTGGGTCCCTGTGGTTCACACGCGGGTGCTGACGGGGACGCGTCATGTGCGCGGAGACTCGGGTGCGGCGAGCTCCCTTGCACGTCAGCTGCTCTTCGAGTGGGCGAAGCTGTTGTCTCTGTGTGTGTGTGTGGGGGGGTCACATGCCACTTCTCCACCTGCATGCCCTGGTCCCCACCCGCACTCTGCCCCCAGCCATGCTGTCCTTCCCTGGCAGCACCGGCAGCATCGGGCTGGAATCATGGCTGCTGACTTGTCCTCACCCAGACGGAGCTCTCACCCTTTGTGTCCATAGTGCTGAGCACACAGTAGGTCCTCAGTCAGCACTGGTTTCGAAGTATCGCTTGTCGCTTCATAGTGTTTGTTTTTGTGCCGTGACTGAGGTAGTAGAGACTTCTGGCCCCTGCTTTAGAGGGGCGTGTTGTGCTCAGGCCATGCTCCCCAGGATGCCATTTAGGGGGCTTCCTCACCGTGAAGACAGGTTCATTCATGTGCCCTGGGGACAGCTCCTCCTGCGATAATTTTATGAAGAATTTAGTTTTCACTTCCTGAAGCCTAGCAGTATTTGTGGTAGAATCAGCTATCTGTCTCACAAAATTGATTACATCACATTTCTCTTGGTCGTAAGAGGAAACGAGGGCACCTGCTGACTGCGAGAGGACGTCTGTCGTCCTCGCTGCAGAACAGGGCGGGTGCCTCTGCCCTGTGAGCACCTGTGTCGTGCACCTTTCCTCGAAGGTTCGGTGTCAGCGTTGGGATGGTCGCGTGCTCTGCTGTGGAAGGCATCTGCTTTTCTATTTTTCCTTTGTTTTTGGTTTCCCAGTCCTGCCCCGTCACACGGGTCTGGCTTGACTCTCCCACCCCTCTCCCCACTCCACGCTTACTGTTTTGAGTCAACTTCAGGCCGAGGTAAAGGTGCCCCAGGCAGCCGACTGCCTGCCCTGGTGAAGAGACCCCAGGTCAAGACTGAGTTGGAACTCGCAGCTCTGCTGGCCCTGCCAGGTCCTTGCAGGAAGTGGGCAGTTAGGGCACTTAGAGGGGTGATGGATCTAAAAACTATTTGCAGGCACGCAGCTTAAAATGACGTGTGAGGACAGGAAGAAGAGATTTTAGGCTCTTTGGGGTTGTGCGCGCCTCTTCTGGAGATTTGGTGGGGACCAGATCCCTCGCCTTCCTGGAGCCCCTGTGATAGCGTCTACTGTAAACGGAGCTCCTTTGTCCAGTTCCCTCTTGAGGTAAATTGTTTCACACATAAAACATCATTAAAAATAGCATCGCAGTTCAGAACGCTCCATGCCCGTCTTCTCTGTGTCGCTCGCAACTGAGGGTGTTCCGAAACGGCGGGTCTCCTGATGGTTTGCGCAGGTGTGTGCAGAGTTGTAGCTAAAAGCCCACCTGGTGGGCTCACCCACGGGGACAGAGTGAACCCCCCACCGGCCCTTTGGTCTTAGATGCACGCTGGCCCTGGAGTCTTTACGAAGACTCTGAAAGACTTTTTTCTTTCCTTTCAGAAATGTTTGACAAGCAGCAGGCCAATACCATCTTCTGGAGTCCCCAAGGACAGTTCGTAGTGTTGGCGGGTCTGAGGAGGTAGGTGTCTGCCATCTGCTCACAGAGCAGTGCTCGGGCCAGTGCGGGGACCCCGACTCTAGGGCCGTGTCTCACACACTTCTCAGTGGTCACCCCGGAGCCTGAGTGTCCTTGCGTGATCGGGTCACCCCACCTCAGTCAGTGTTGCCGATCACTGTCAGGCAGTGTCTCAGGCGTGCTCCCCGGGCTCGGGCCCAGACCCGGCAGGCTGCAGCAGTCACTCGCAGATGCGTTGGTTGTGTGCCCCGGAAGACGTGTCTGCATGCTCTGATTCCTTCGTGGGGCAGTGGGGGTTCTCCCTGCAGTCCAGCCACCCTAGTGGAAAGTCCATGTCTTCTCGTGGGAGGAACACTTAATTGGTCACGAGCCTGTCCCCACCGCTGTGGTCAGCACGACAAGAACAGAACCCTGGTCCTTCCTGCTCTCTGCATAGTCGCTGTTCCAGTAGAACGCGTGGGACGCGTGCAGAGCCCGCGGCGGCCCCCGCGTGTCAGAGCACCTGCTAGCCGCTCACTTCCCTTACTCGGTTGCAGATGTTACTGTGTTTTTTGAGGCTCGGCCTCAGGTAGACTTTCCTGTAAAAATAGTGGCAGCAGACACAGTGCTAGCCGAGGCACTTCTTGTGTCTCAGATTCCTCGGGAGACCGTTCCTTCCATTGTTTCCGCCTTACCGGGGTGGCAGGCAGGGACTGCTCTGGAGTTTCTGGGAGGAGCAGGGACGCCAGGAGGACAGCAGAGGGAGCCACACTCATGGCAAGGACTGACTGCTGTCCATCTCCCCAGCATGAACGGCGCTTTGGCGTTTGTGGACACCTCAGACTGCACAGTCATGAACATCGCAGAACACTACATGGCCTCCGATGTGGAGTGGGACCCGACGGGGCGATACGTGGTCACCTCTGTGTCCTGGTGGAGCCATAAGGTACGGGGACCCGTGTACCCTTGCACCACATGAAACCGGGTGGTGCCAGGCTTGTGGCGACTCCTCGCCCTGGGAAGAGCACCGTGCGTGCTGCACTGTGACTGCGCACGGGGTTTGTTGTCCTGCTTGTCCAGCGTAAGCTCGGGGAGGGCAGGGTCTCAGTTTTGTTCACCAGTGTCTCCCAAATACCGACGGCGTTATTGGGCCTATTCTTGGCCCGCAGACATTTGTGGAAGGGAATGGTGGGTTTTGTTGGTTCTGCAGCCAGTACAGATTATGGGGTCCCCGTGCGTCCCAGTGTGGCTCAGTGGGATGGCGGTTCCATTTGGCCTCTGCTCTCTGCCAGGTGGACAACGCTTACTGGCTGTGGACTTTCCAAGGACGCCTTCTGCAGAAGAATAATAAAGACCGCTTTTGCCAGCTGCTGTGGAGACCTCGGCCCCCAACACTCCTGAGCCAGGATCAGATAAAGGTCTGGTGTTCCCATCAGATTAAGGGGACGTGAGAGCAACGTGGAACCGAAAGAAAAAGCTTTTGTTGTTACTGTTAGGGTGGTTATGAGTGAGGAATAGAAACGTGACACTTGTGGGGACCCTTTGAAGAGGTGCAGGAACACTAAGAAACAGTTGGAAAGGAATAGTTTAGAGACAGTCAACTTGGATTTTCAGCTTTCTCGTGCACGTCACGTCGGTACCGTTCGTTGTAGGACGTTTGCACGAACCGGCAGGCTTGTGCAGAGCTGCGCTGATGGCATTGGGCTGAACTGAGAGCGTGGGGATCCAAGAAAGGCGACTGCAGAGCAGACGTTACGCTGGGTGTCCCTGGGGGCCGTGTCTTAGGGGTCACTGCGGATGTCGTTCCACGTTAGCCACTTAGAAGATTGTGTCTTCGGTTTTTGCTTTGAACGTTTAAACCCTGACTGACTTGTTTTTGTTTCAGCAAATTAAAAAAGATCTGAAGAAATACTCCAAGATCTTTGAACAGAAGGATCGTTTGAGCCAGTCCAAAGCCTCCAAGGTCAGCCTTGTTCCTCCAGCTGAGGAAAATGGTCTCTGTCCTTTCATGGCAGAGGAGGGCCAGTGTCAGGCTAGGAGGTGGTGTCCACTGGGGAGGGTGGCTTCTCCATCGAAGACGCTCACTGTGCTACTGCACGTGCACAGACCGGTGGGGGCAGCTTTGCTGCTGGGCCCCTGGAACCCCCTGGCTAGCTTCAGACACAGAAATTGCAGGGTGGGGTGGTTAGGGAGGAGAATGGGGACCAGCACACCCTACCGTTCCTGTCCTGAGCTTCCCTTTAAATCGCCCTGCGTCATCTGGTGAAGTTGGCTCCTGTTGACATGTTTTCACGTTGGTCAGGCAAAACCGTGATGGTGTGTTAAGTGTCAGCTCTTTGACCCTCCCCACCCCGCCCGCCATGTGCAGGAACTGGTGGAGAGACGACGAACCATGATGGAAGATTTCCGAAAGTACCGGAAAATGGCCCAGGAACTCTACATGGAGCAGAAAAACGAACGTCTAGAACTGCGAGGAGGTAGCTATGAGCCGGAGATAGGTTTTTTTAAAGCACGTGTTTCTTAAAATTTGTCTCCTACATCTGTCTTAATCCTGCCTGATTTCTCAGTCAGCAGCTAGCATTGGGAGACGGCTCTTAAATTGTTAGTCGCGCTCCCCACCGCCTGCAGTCAAGGCTGATCCTTGCCAAAGTCTGTGCTGTGTCCACTCTGGCCTCTGGGCGGGTGTGGCACGTGTGTGGTCCAAGGTCAAGTCCACTGTGGCCTCTCCCTGTCCTCTTAGGTGTGGACACCGATGAGCTGGACAGCAACGTGGACGACTGGGAGGAAGAGACCATCGAGTTTTTTGTCACTGAAGACATCATTCCTCTTGGGAGTCAGGAGTGATCTGAGACCGCCAGGGTAAGATCTCTCCTGCAGGATGGCTGGCATTCTGTCCAGAGCCTGCAGTTAGGGAGCGCGTTGTTTAAGGTGAGGGCGAAACCCAGCGCCATGCTCTCAAGGTTGTAAAGCCCTTGCGTGTGGGTTGTGACCAGCTCGATGCACACCGGATGTCAGGGCTGAGCCTTTTGTCAGAAAGTGCTCCAGGCACAGGCACAGCGTTTGCGCTTGGGTGAGAGCAGAGCCAGGGCCGATGCTGGGCACACGTGCCAGGCCCTGGGGAGGAGGGAGGCCGGCCCCTGACCCTGTCCCAGAGTCCTTGCGGAGAAGGCCTTGCGGGTCTGGCAGCAGGGCAGGAGCACCGCCCACTGTGGTGCCCAGTTCTGGTCAGTCCCTGGTTGGTCTGAGCCAAGAACCTTCAGAAGCCGGTCAGGTGCCACAGGGATGGAGGAAGGATCCAGAGGTTCTGCACCTCGGGGCTGGTGCGTGTGGGCGAGGAGTCAGACCTCGTGTGTGGTGGATGTCCAGTCAGTGCTGTCCCCGGGCCGGGGCAAGTGACTGTGGCTGTCTTTGGGCCTGATGCTCCACCGTCGAGGTTGTTTCCTGGGACAGCTGCTGTTCACATCGTAGGTGTCACACTGAAGCGGGCCTTCTGCTGGCTTCCGCTTCTTAAGATTGTGGGGCTCACGCTTGCCTCCTCTCAGCTGGAGGATGATGTCAGTGACCACTCCTGACGTGGAGCACTTGACAGGTGCAGGACAAAGAGCAAATGCTTGTTCCCTTGTTGCAGCGCCACCTTGTGCTGGAGCCAGGGTCGTCCTTTGCAGACAGCCTGCGCGGTTCCTGAACTTGACACAGTCCCTGGGCCTTTCTCGCTCTGGACTGGCTGCAGCTGGAAGTCCCCGTCTCCACACATAGTCGTGCCTTTCAGCCCCTGGTGACTACAGCAGGGCGGTTTTAAGGCACTGCTTTAAGTCTCTCCTCGTTTGCGTTTTTTACTCTCTCACCACCAGTATTTGTCACTCAGACTGACGCGTGCCGCAGCAGGTCCCCTTCCTCCTGCTGCTGGCACTTCTGAGGTGCACCGTCCACAGCCGAGCCTCCCCCTCCAGGGCTCTCACTGTCCTGTGCGTGTGGGCCGGTGTCGGTTGTGTCCTGGACACCTGCACAGGAGCAGTGCACCGCTTGTGTCCTGGTGTGCTGGGGGGCACTGCAGCGTGTGGCCCCCCGCCATTCAGGCTGTGGCAGGTTCTCTCAACAGGCTGAACGTGGAAATAAAAGCAAACCTGTATGAAAAAGCTGTCTTTCTCCTGTCTTTAAACCTAGTTAGCGGCCTTAAATTTGGTGCCTCTTCCCTTTCCCCGGCGGTAACAGCCGCCGCCGGGGCCCCGTCCGTCGGCCACAGGCACACATGGCAGACGTGGCAGGAGGGTCCCGCCCCCCTCGTGGTTTTCTGCGTTTGCAGGTGAGCTCTGTATTGAAGCCAGTCAGTCCAAAAACAGTTTCTTCAGGTTTATTTGTTTTCTATGCCTATGCTTGTCACCTCACCTGGTGAGAAAGAACCCTTTAGACTTTTCCTTGGAGTCATTCAAGTTTGAAGGCCTGTCGAGACTTGTCACTTTAGCCACTGTTATGTGGTCCTCTGAACCTTTCACCCTTTTTGCCTACTAGGAAGGGAGTAAAATCCATGTAATTTCAGCCCACTTCTTTTTGCAACGTCTTGCTACCCATCGGTGCCTTGTCAGATTGCAGTTTCTTCCACCTCTTTTTTATCTTCTGGACCCCAAAGCTTAGTTTAAAAATCACTGAAGCACGGGACAGGCACACTTGGAATTCACAGTCGTGACAGGCGCAGACCTCAGACGACGTGTTGGAATTGGAGGAGCAACCAACAGACGCCCACCCGTGCAGCTCGGGCACCGACAGCATCCTCGGCCCGTGGGGCTGACTCCACAGTGACTGCTGCAGTGGGCGGGCTGCCCGCCACGAGCTCGTCCCCTCGAAGGCCCGGGCCAACTCCGGGTGCCCTGGTGGGACACAGGCGCTGTGTATTTCTCCTTTCTCGGAGCCTTAAGTTCCCCTCCCGCTGTGCTGTCCCCGCAGGTCTCGGCCGTCACGTCCTTCCGGCCAGCTTTCCCGCGGGCCTGTCTGTGCGTGTCGCGCAGC